ATATAACAAAGAGTGAAAAATTTAAGGGGGTCTGAATACTTTCCGTACCCACTGTATATATATACAGTATATATATATATATTTTTTAAATATACAAAAAATATATTTGCTAAAATATGTTCCACAATATATATTAACGTAAATATATTTTCTACCAATATATGGCCATATTTGGCCAAAATATATTTGTGACCCTGGAGCACAAAAGCAGTCTTAAGTCGCTGGGGTATATTTGTAGCAATAGCCAACAATACATTGTATGGGTCAAAATTATCAATTTTTCTTTTATGCCAAAAATCATTAGGATATTAAGTAAAGATCGTGTTCCATGAAGATATTTAATATATCAAATAAATATATCAAAACTTAATTTTTGATTAGTAATATGCATGGCTAAGAACTTCATTTGGACAACTTTAAAGATGATTTTCTCAATATTTAGATTTTTTTAGTACCCTCAGATTCCAGATTTTGTATCTCAGCCAAATATTGTCCTATTCTAACAAACCATACATCAATAGAAAGCTCAATTTCAAAAAATTGACCCTTATGACTGGTTTTGTGCTCCAGGGTCACATTTGATATATTTAGTATATTTTGCCCTCCATATATTTCAATCTGAGAAAATACATTCGCATATGCCATTTTTTGCTATTTGTTGTCTATAACATGTAAGAATATATTACAAATTTGAATAAAAAAATGTATAAAACCTAAATGTTGGCTACTGTAAGATTGGAAATGTATTTTCTTGCCCATTAAATGCATTTTGAAATATATTTTGGTGTATGAAGGTTGAAACTAAATATATTTTCAATTTTATCTTCACTGTTTACAAAATATATTTGACATATATTTAAAATATGTTTTGGCCAGAGTATTTGATTGATTGATTGATTGATTGATTATTTTTATTTATTTATTTATTTATTTATTGATGTATGGTTATGTATGATATTGAAGCATGTGACAAAAATATTAAAATCACTGTAACACAGACCAAGAGTTACTTTTTTCATAAAACAGCAATATGATAAAAATGCATCTATATTTATTAATAATAACTAGTATTAATGCTAATTAACAATAAACAATTATTTCGCCAAATAAGTAGATAATATGTACACTAAAAAACAACAGTTGTGTAGGATTGTATCTTTGAAACAATTTTGACTCAGAAATTGCGAAAAAAGAATTCACAAATAATAAAAGAAACAAGTAACACATTGAATTAAAGTGCTACAAATACTGTAACACAGGCCTAGAGTGACTTCTACTTCTATAAAACAGCAGCGAATGGCAATATGATAAATTACTATATTAATGATTAATGTTTATAAACAATAAACAATTTGTTTGCCAAATAATTAGTTTGATGGCTGTCTGTGGTTGCCGGGCAACATACCCCATTAAAATAGAATTTAATTAAAGTTCAGAATGTGGATCATCCAATCATATTTTAAAGCCAGAGCTACTGTCATAAAATAATATATAAAGTACTACAGTATTAATAAATGTTAAATACACCAAAAACGTACTGTAGCTTTTTATTTATTCAACAAGGACATATAAAAACAGAAAAAGAAGCCAAAATAGGAACAGAATATTAAAAAATAAAATGAATTTATATTGGTTTAAGCCTGGACTGGCCTTGCTTTGTACAAACAAACAAATAAAAGTCACAAATAAAATCACACACACACACACACACATACACACACACTCACTCACTCACACACACACACACACACACACACACACACACACAAACACGCACACACACACTCTCTCTCACACACACACACACACACACACACATGCAGCAGCTCACACAGAATTCTCAGGTCGTGCCCTTATTGTGTTGCATGGCTTTGGTTTCATCCTGACAAGTGGTAATTGATTCCGCTGTAGGTTGCGCCGGCGGTAAGTGGGGCACGATCTCCAGTTTCACTGAAAACAAATCGCTCTTTTCTGCGGCCTGACCTTCCCTTCCCTCTTCTGTCCAGACCTCACGCTCGTCTCAATCACTCGCATCCTCAGCATCATGTGTGCTGCTATACAGTCTCTTCTGCTCACCCAAAAAATACAGTAAAAACAGTGATATATCATTACAATTAAAACAACTTTTTTCTGTGTGAATATTTGTTAAAATTAAATTTATTTCTGTGATCAAAGCTGTATTTTCAGCATCATTACTCCAGTCTTCAGTGTCACATGATCTTCAGAAATCATTCTAATATGCTGATTTGCTGCTCAAGAAACATTTCTGATTATTATCAATGTTGAAAACAGTTGTGCTGCCCAATATTTTTGTGTGATACATTTTATTTTTCAGGATTCACGGATGAATAAAAGGTAAAAAGAAAAGCATTTATTTGGAGTAGAAATCGTTTGTAACATTATAAATGTCTTTACTGCCACTTTTCATTAATTTAATGCATTTATGTTGAATTACAGTTTTAACTACTTTCAAGAACAACAACAACAACTTTGTTGTTTGACGTGAACACAAAGGCCAAAATTACTATTTTAAAGACTGTGACAGAATTTAAAATGAGCTCAAAAGAAAAAAAAACAAGCAAAATGAAGGTCACAAAGTTAATTTTAAAATGCAATAAAATGAATAATAAATAAGAAGAAAGTACAATAATTACATTCATTAAAGTAAAATAATGCAATGCAATGCATCACAGTTTAAATCATGTTCAGTGGTCTAAAATACTGCAGGATAACCATCAGTTTAAGATGATCTTGTTTCCATCTCTCACTTTGACATCACTGCCCTCTAGTGAAGGACTTCAGCAAATGACCAGGAAAAAGACTTGATTATCCTGAGCTGAGAGGAAAAAACATAACAAATCACAACTAAACTAAAAATAAGTAAATAGATAAATAAATAATGGAAAATATTTTAAAATATTAATATAAAAAAATTAAAACAAAAAATATAATATATATTTTTAAATATATATATGTTCTAAATATTAATTTGAAAAAATTCAGACAGTAGTGAAAACCCTCTATAATATAATGAAATATTTGTGATTTATGTTGCAAAAAAGAAAAATGCTCTATACATCTCTACATGAATATTGCAAAAAGTTCATTGAAATGGACAGCCAGAGTGTTGGGTTTTGTTCTGGATCCTCCAGAATCTGGTTTCAACTCTAACACTGTTATACAAACAAACAAACAAACAAGAAAAGGCTACTTTCTTGGCCACGGCAGGGACACATTTCCTTTGGAGAGACAGTGTGTGTCAGGACACGAGTTTTGACGCTGCCTCACAGAAGTGGTGACTGTGCTCTGAAAGGGTAATGAGTTGCTGGATGCTCTCAGGTCGGCTTCTCCTTTCCCAGCAACCTCCATTGAGGCTCTGATCCTCCGTCTCTGACTGCATTCCCATCCCTCTCTCCTGACACCACGGCCAGAGCAAACACAAATCACTTCCAGCAGGAACACACACTGTTTCTCACCCAAACTTTACAGCTTTTATTACTTGCATCCTAAAGTAATTTGCTTTATTGGAGATTCTTGCATATGCAAGGTTCTAGATATGAATGATTCCTCAAATCATGTGACTATAAAATGGGCCAAAATGCAGAGGAGACCTGCGTGGCTGCGTTTCCCAAAAGCATCGTAAGCCTAAGTCGATCGTAGCTCCATTGGTTTCAATGGGTCTACGATGTAACTAAGCTTACGGTGCCTTTGGGAAACGCAGCCCAGAATAGACTTTGGCCAACAAAAAAACACCCAGATCACCCTGGCAACCAATAAAAGTAGAACATACCAGCTTTTGATTGCTCCTTGAAATTATGTCACTTCCTGTTCCTTATTTCATTTATGACAGCTCAATTTTTGTAGTAGGTACTGCAGTGTTGTTATTGTTAACCAAAATCATAGTAAAACAATTTGAATCATTAATTGGAATAAAGCTGAAATAAAATATAAATATTAGATTTTAAAAAATGTAGAAAAAATTTGAACTTCAAATTTTAAAATGTAAAATTAAAATAACATAACAATAATAATAATGTAAAATAACAATAATAATAAAGCACATGAGAAGTTACTACAATACATTTCAAATAATAATAAATATTATACTAATATATAAATAATAGTGTAAATAAGTGGTGTGACAACATCAGTACTCATGGACTCATGGACATTATTATTTTTATCATATAAATGTGATTGATTTAGAAAACCAAAACCGATTTTATAATGGCAAAGCTATTATATCTATGCATATTTGTTTAAAAATATTTTAAATAGAACTTCATGACTGCCTATATAGACATGTCAAACTGCATATATTATTTCTAACAAAAACACTCTTATATAAAAAAAAAATTACACTATAATTGCATGAAATATTTTTTATATAAGTTTATAATTTGTTTAAACGCACCAATACATTTATTTTCTCATGAAGTGCAGAACGCATCCTACATTTCAGTTCATGCTAATTTCATGAAGAAAAACTTAAAAATGACAAAGTTAAAGCTCTAAATTAATTAAATCTGTATTAATATTGTAAACAAAAAGAAGCTGTAAATAAAAGCTAATATGAATAAATAATATGGAAAAAATACTAAAATAACACTGAGCTACTGTAAATAAGTGATATGATGACATCAAAACTCAAGGACAAAGGTAAATTGCTGTTTCATTTTGAAAAATGTTTTGCATAAGTGTGATTGATCACATGAAATGATGGTGACCAATGCATTTGTCTTCTCATCTTTCTCGTCAGATGCGTCCTGCACTTCAAGTCATGCTAATTTCTTCTCATATGCATGAGGGCTATTTGCATTGGCGCACACATCAGACGTCGTCCGGATTTGGGATGGCCCTTTTGACCCCGTCGAGGAGTGGACAAAGTCATCGGGTGCACTGCTGTGTAAGCAGTGATAAGGCACTTCTTAATGTGTTTGCACAGAAGCTGGAGTAAAAAGGGCCTCTGACGCAGAAGGGCCCACAGCCTGCCGCCGCCTCCACAATGGAGACCCCAACGCCAAACACGGCCCCAAATGTCACACCACGCCTGGACATGGCAGGGAGGGATGAGCGGCCTGATTGGACGGTGTCAGTGTGGGTGTCTCGTTTTAAAAGGCCCGGTGGATGTGGCGTGACGGTAGAGGAAGCGCGGCGTAAAATACTGTAAAGTGCAACACACTTGACAAGCCTTCTCATCTTAGAGGCGCATCAGTGCAAAAGAGTGCGGCAGGTGTACGATTTGCCATTTTGAGACAGAAAATTGAGATTAATTTAGCTCTCATTCACAGCTGGACGGTCTCACCTTCAGGTCACTGAGATGTATAAGGTGGACATGCTGAAACTATTGACCACAGTTGCTCTGCTGACTGTCGCTTCGGTGTTGGATGCTGCTCCGCTGATGCCTGGAGAACCAGCTGATGGAGGTGAGGCAGGTCAAAACCAGCTCACAGTTTACATTCATGCATTTGGTTCAATAAGGTGCTTTTATTTAAAACTACTTACATTGCATTCCATGTGTACATTTAATTAGTGCATGCACTTCCTGGGAAACGAACTAATGACCTTGTCGTTTCACTGCAAGAATGATTTTCTTTCTCAGTATTTTTCCTGTTTTTCAGTACAAATGTTCTTAAATAAAGACACATTTACTTGAGAAGTAAAATGGCCATATAGGTCTATTAGAAATTCAGTTTCTAATAACTTTAACTTTATTTTATCACTTATTTACACATTGTTTGCTGAAAAATCTTCCAAAATTAAGTGAGTTTATGCTTAAAACAAGGAAAAAAATAAAATAATACAAGCAGAAAACAAGCCTTTATATTTTGAGTCATTTTCCTCAAATAAATGTATCTTGATGTAATAATGTTTAGATGTTTGTAATGGAAAACAAGACAAAAATATTAAGAAACTTTTTTTTTTTTTTTTTGCATTGTAGTGCCATGCCATATTTCTGACTCAAGTCAAGTCAGATTTATTTATATAGTGCTTTATACAATACAGACTGATTCACAGTAAGAAACAGCGTTCGTGTTAATTCACCTAAATTCATCAGGGTTTTTGCAGCGATGCCATAGAATATTTTTGGTTCCCCAAAGAACATTCTGGTGGGCGGTTCTCAAAAGAACCATCTTTTCTCAGTGTTAATCTGAAGAACCTTTTTCCACTAAAAAGAATCTTTTGTGGATTGGAAAGGTTTACATGGATGCTAAAGGTTCTTAATGGAAGCATTGATGCCAATAAAGAACCTTTATTTTTAAGAGCGTAGAGGAGACATTTGAGATATTAATGAGATCTCATTTGTGATTTCTCCGTCCTGTGAGATGTTAGTTTCACTGTTGTCAAGCCTACAGACTCAGAGATGGCGCTGGACCAAGATAATTAGTCCAGTGGCGCCAGCTCTTGTGGTCTTCTGTTGGTCTTGTGCTGTCCGCACTTCCAGTGTGTGTGCAAACCTTAAATCTGCCTTCACATTCAGGTTTCCAGCTAAAATTGGCTCAGGAGTTTCAAGTAGGGTTATGAATTAGGTCATTAAGTCTCAGCGGATCTCATTTAGGTTAATTCTGATTGTCTTACAGAACTTCTTGACCTGGATGTGCGCGCACTGTGCACAGTATCTTCACCATGCAACAATAAAGCAGCTGACAGGAAACGCTCTCAGAATGTTCTCTCAATGTTATGAACAAGCATTCTTCCAGTTACATTAATAGAATGTTTGCTTAAAGTTATCTGACATTTAATAATGTTCTCAAAATGTAAAATGGAATGTTCCTTTAACATTCGCATAACCAAAAATGTTTCAAAAAAACTTTTTTTTAAAAATCAGAGAACATTTACAATGTTTTCATAACTTAATGAGAATGTAAATGCACATGCACAAACAGTGTTCTTAAAATAATAAGTTCACTACTGCTAAAATAATCACTACAATTCAGGTCATGCTAATTTAGTACCATATGCATGTATGGAATCTGGTGCACTTTTTCATTGCAACAATGGTCATGACTGCCTTTAACAAGGGTGATAATACCACTCGTATTTTATCAAGAGGCCCTTCAAAGTGTTTTTAATGGAGTGATGGCAAGTTTAGTGTTTACAAACGTCTTTTTTTGTATTTCTGAGTCCAAAAACCCCACCTCTGACATCACCGAGACGCACTGCGGTCGTCCTAACAACTCGCTGACTTCCACAAGACTTCTGTAAACATGACTGCAGGCAGAGAGCGGCTCCACATGTGTTTGTACATGAGTGTGAACACGCAGTTTGTCAGTGTCCACCTCTAAGATCAGAATGATGATGAGGACAAAAGGCATTTATCATCTGTTATACCTTGTATGTTTGTCCAAGCCAAGAAAAGGCCTTTTAAGGGATGTTTGAAGTTTGGGATGTCTCTCTTTTCAAGGTTCTGCAGGGTGTTTCAGTGCATTGGCATTCCCATTGACTTGTTTCTATGGGTATGGGAACAATTCCGTGTCAACAGGACTTAGATCGGTATGCCACTAAATGAGACAAACCCTTTCAGAGGGGATGCATCATTCTGGTACCAACCATAAACTGGAATTTTAGAGACATGCAAACACTTTACTGTAGCTGAAACTAATTCAATTGCATTCCATTGAGCTCCAAAGGAGTTTAAAAATGAGGTTAAAGGGTTAGATCGCTCATCATTTACTCACCTTCGTGTTTTTTCAAACTTGTATGACTTTGTTTTTTCATGTGAAACACATACGACGATATTTTGAAGAATATGAGGTCCGTTCTCATTGACTTCCATTGTATTCTTTGTCTATATGATGGAAGTCAATGGGAACCGAAACTGTTTGGTTAACAAAAGTTCAAAATATCAAAAAATTCCAAAAAAGAAAGAAAGCCATACAGGTTAGGAATGACACCAGGGTGAGTAAATGATGAATTAATTTTCATTTCACCAACCCTTTAAAGCAGCTGCATTGTGATGCTTTGATAACTTTGTGAATCATTTCTTTCAAACCAGTATTTTGGAGCATATCAAACTGCCAAAGTCACATGATTTCAGTAAGAGATTTTCACACATTGTTACTTCACAATTGTTTCAAAATGTTTCGAAATGTCAGTGGTTTGCCATTGGGACAGTGAACCATTGAACCAGTGTCTAATAGGGCACTAATAATAGTCTCTAACTGGCCTGTTTAGACTAGCCAAAAAAAAAAAAAAAACATTTATGCATGTTTTGGCTTGAGTTTTGTTGCATTTACACAGTTTTGACCAGCGTGTGGCGTTTCGAGCACTACGAAACGGTAAACCATTGGTTCAATTGAGTCAACGCTTCGGAAAAGTTCGTTTACTATTTAAAATCATTCTGATTGTACACTGACTTCTAATAAGGCGAATGGTTGTTTCTTTCCCATGCTTCCCGCCAAATGTGGAGAGCGGGTACGGAATTCTGCGAAAAGGGCGGATTGCTTTTTGGCTGCAACACATAACTGAAAGTGGCTCCAAAGTCGCGGAGCTACAGTTGCTTTAACGGATTTAAAAAATGCCTTAAAGTATCGGTATTTCCTTCCAGATCCACAGAGGAATATTGAGGAAAATGCAGCACAAGTGACGAGGATTTTCGAGAAGCTACTGAAGACCAGACCAATGACGACATTTCCAGCCAGAGATGGAAAAACCGTAGTGATGAAAGCATTAGACGAAATAATCACAGTGACAACTATCCCAAATATCAGAGACAAAACCTTAGACACGGGTGTCAATAATCCATTAAAGACACTAACACTTCTTTCTGATGGACACGAGGAGATTCGTGATGGATCTCTGAGCATTGACCGCACAAACAGTTCACCCGATTCCCGGCGGCAAACAGAGAAGAACAGACTGTTCAGACTGTCAAAGCTGATTGATTCAAACGAGCACGGCGACGCTCCATCAGCAGCCGAACAATCAGATCCGGCCGCTCGAGAGGAGCTGGTGAAGATGCTGAGTGCACTTGAAGAGCTTCACAAGTTAATGAACAGCACACTGAGCCATCGAATCACCTTCATAACCAGAGGTGTGTCAAAAATAGACATTTTAAAAAGATTTCATTTTGTCTGTTTCAAATAAATGCTGTTCTTCTGAACTTTGTTTATCTAGGAATCCTGAAAAATTAAATGTATCACTTTCCACAAAAATATTGTGCAGCACAACTGTTTTCAACATTGATAATAATCAGAAATGTTTCTTGAGCAGCAAATCAGCATATTAGAATGATTTCTGAAGATCATGTGACACTGAAGACTGGAGTAATGATGCTGAAAATTCAGCTGCGCATCACAGAAATAAATTACATTTTAACACCTATTCACATAGAAAACACCTATTTTAAATTGTAATAATATGTCACAATTTTCACTGTTTTTTCTATTAGTGTAATTGTAAAGAAAAATTAAAACCATTAATAATATTTTTGCTATTTGAAATAAAGTTGAAATTAAATTGATGAAATAATTACAAATGTTGTCTTTGCAACTAATTGAAAGAAAGTTTAAGCTTAAGTATTAAAATTACTAAAACAAATAGAACTATTAAAAAAAATTAAAATGAAAAAAGCATATTAAAATCGACTTGAACTTAAACAAGTAGTAAAACTGAAAATATAAAAATAAAATCTTAATACAAAATATTAATACTGTAATAGTATATAAATAATATTAAAATAATAATAATAACACTAGTATTTTTGATCAAATAAATGCAGCCTTGGTGAGCAGAAGAGACTTCTTTCAAAAAACATTTAAAATCTTACCGACCTCAAACTTTTGAATGATTTAATATTGAATGCAATTTAGTTTAATTAAATCTTGCCTCTTATTGTTTTTGTTTTTTTTCTTCGTCAAAGGAAATAGCAACGGACGAAGTACTGGGAAGAAGAACAAAATGGTATGATCAGATATTAAAATAAATAAATAAATTATATTTACAGTATATTTATAAATATATAAAAAGTCCAATTTGTGCTTTATGCTATAATTAGTGTTTTCTAACCTGCAGACAGTTACAGATGGAAACCTGAAATCCACCACAGCGACCTCTATAGACGGCGGTGGGATTTCACCGAAGGCCAGCACTGACCAAATGGATCCCAAACTCAACGGAAAAGCCTTTAAACAGTCTCTTCCATCAGCTAAGAAAACCAACAAGCGAGGTATGATGCAAACCAACTGGTCTGGATAACAAAAACTTGCCATGTGCATGATAAAAAATAAAATAAACTGTTTATCTTTCTCCAAAAACAGTGTGCTTCTGGAAGTACTGCTCTCAGAACTGAGATGAGCAGCTCATTTCTCCCTCATTTCACCAAGCAACAAATCCTGTTCTCAAACAGAGATGCTTAAACTCTTCTCAAAGGACCACCAATAACACGACTGACCCCTCTGACCTCTGTGACGTGTGTACCTTTGACTTTGTGCACGAAATACTCTTAACGCTCTTCGCTGTTGCAAGCTCCAATAAAAATGACAAAGCATGCAAAAAACTACTGTGATAATAAAGAGAACTTTATTTTTCTACAGTTATCTCTCTCGGTGATCATTGCAAAATAAGACCGTATTTAAAGAGTGACGTGCGTCACTGTACTAGCGTTTGCACAAGTTCTCCGAGCGCAAACGTAGAGGTCACTATGGTGATGATGAGGTAGCAAGTCGACTAGAAAGACAAGCTGTTGATATTACGCCTTTGAAATTGATCTGATTGCTCAAAGAGCTGCGGTTGCTTGGGTGACGTTCACTGAGTTCCTGCAGAATACAAGAGAACGAGTCAAAAGAAGTTCAGCACCACCAGAGTCTTTCATTTCGTTCGTCTCTCGTATCAAGCTCTCAATCTTCACATGACCCTCGTTCATCACGGGGATAGGAGATTAAAAACCATGAAGACTTAATGATGAATTCTGATTAGTTTAATTAAAGTCTTCTCGTCAGAGCTTCATAAGGCGTTCCCGCAAGGTTACGTAGTTGCATAAATAGCGTGTTTTAACAAGTTCTGTGCATCGATTAAAACAACAACAGCAATCAAATATAAAGGAAGAAGCAGTTTCATCCTAAACTTGGAAAGTCAAAACAATTACAATCAGTAACGTAATTAGTAAACGTGTGGATAATAGCCTCGTGTGATGATACAAAAGGAGAGTTTCATTAAACATATATGGTGGTGATATTGTAAAATAAACAGGATTTCTTTAAATAGAAAATGCAAATAGAAAATGTGTGAAAATATGCTGGCCTGACCAGAAGAAGCGTAAGTAAATATTCAAATATGCAAAAAATAGAAAGAATAATCCAGAAATATAGAGATCCATAGCTTAAAGGTGATTGAGATTTGGTCAAGGCCTTGGTGAATATAATGAATGTGCCATATCTAGTCTATCTATATCATCTATGAAGACAGATCAATTGTTAAGAGTATTTTATCTCTGCGTCTGGTCTTATACTATTTTCCTGGCCCTGCCATTGATTGAAGGAAAACGTATGCCAGTCTACTGATTTATGATCAATATACCATAGTATTAGTGCAGCTCCACCAGTGAGCGCACGCACACACACACACACACACACACACACACACACATACACACAAGCATGTGACGGTGCTCTGAGCTACCAGTACTTGTCTGGTCATCCTGAACTATTTGATCTTTTTGGCGACGTCCAGGTAAGCGAACTCGATCTCACGCTCAGCAGGACAGGTGTTCATGAACTCCTCTCTCTTGTAAGCATTATTCAAATATCGCCAAACCCCGGTCATCTCAGCAGGAATCTCAAAACCCCTGTACTTCCTGGCAACAATCTGCAACACAGAGTATGGAGGCGGTAAAACTGGAAATCCAGCATATGCATTTTTGCCGAGTAAAAATGTGTGCATGCCAAAAACACTGGCTCTAAAATGTGTGCGAAAATATTTTTCATAAATTGAAATAAAATTAAACAAAACAAATATAAATATAATTATTAGATGAAAAATATAAAGTGGCAACTAACTGAAATAAATTAAGTTTATAAATTTAAATACTAAAATTACGAAAACTAAAACAAAAAAATGCTAAATACACACACACACACACACTAAAAATAACAAAAGCAGATAACAAATTACTAAAACAGAAATAAAAATCAATAAGAGATAAATAAAAATATATAAAAAAGTAATAATACTTTTTAAATAAAATGTCAGAAGCTCACATTAAAATTTCTAAAACTAAAATTAAAATGAAAACTTCAAAAATAAAAGCCAATTCAAAATATTAATAAATACTATAATTAATAAATATTAATAAAGACTATAAATGTAATAAATAGTACTAAAACAACACTACACTATCCTCAATAACCATAGTCAAAAAGTCCTAAAGAAATGTGTACAGAATTGCAAATGAAATTCCCATCATTATTCGTAAGCAAAAGTATCTTAATGGAGTTAAACAAGATCCTGATATCCACTAAATTCATATACAATTTAGTTGATCAGAATAACATTAAAATCATTTTATTCTATTAGGAATCATAACTGTCCTACATTTATATTTATGCATCTTTTCCAAAGTGACATACTGTACATTGCATTCAATACATTGCATTTTATCAGTTAATAAATCCAACAAGACATTTAAATGAACTAATATTAAAAATAATGAAATAATATCAATTTCTGGATATTAATTTTGCTAAATTAAAATTAATCTTTAAAAACACAAATTTACATTGCATTCAATACATTTTATCAGCTAATACATTTGATGGAAATTGAACCCCGCAACCTTAGCGTTGCGTGCGTGATGCTCTACAGCGTGAGCTACAGGAACGTCCTAATGGAAATATGTGTTCTTGTGTCTTTATCTGTGAATTCTGTGCTTCACCTCTTGAGGTCCACAGTGGTGACGTTGAAGATGACTCCTTTCAGCCAGAGGATCATGAAGAGTCTCTGAGAGAAGGGACAGTTCCCGATACTCTCTCCATCACTGCCGGCCTGAGAGACACACACATTATCCCATCATTCCTTCCACTACAGACGTCAGTGCTCTTCAAGAGACGAGAGTACAGTGTGTTTGAAGCTTGAGCTTTTGATTTGGTTTGCTCTGCACAGCAAACACTTCCTAATGCATGAAGACACTGTATGATGAAATGAGGATTTTAAAATGAAGTTTAAAATATAAATTACTTAAATTATATATATATTTTTTTTAGTCAAATAGTTAAGCTCCAAGATGTACAGAAAATCCAGAATAATACAGAAGTCATTAAAAAGACCTGACATATTATGAAATATATTTAAGTGTTTTATATTATTATAAGTGATTTAAATATGCAATGGTACACATTCGGCTAAAGTAATTACTTTATGTGGTTATTAACACTTAGATCTAGATAAATTCAAAATCCAAACAAGCTTCTTTTATCATCTTGTTTGACATCAATTAAATGCCGAAAAAAGGTTAATCAGAGGATGTAAAAAAAAAAAAAATGAAAATTGTGTCATCATTTACTCTTCCTCCACTTTTTTTCACAGTTTCTTTGCTGCCAACTTTGGGTATCTTAAAAAAATGTACCAGGGTTAATGAATGTAATAAGGATCTGAGGCAATGGCAGGTGAAGCGATAGTAAGTACCGTGGTGGGACCAGTCGTTCCTCGAGAAACTCCTCGATCTTGTTGACGTCCACCAGCACCTCTCCGTTGAAGGTCATGAATGGAGGGTTGGTTCCTGGAGCGAGATCCTGCAGATCCGCCGGCTTTCTGTGTGACACGGACCAACAAACCTGCCATCACCAGTGTTGCTATTGCTAACTAAAACTACAGCAGAGATGCTCAAATCCAGGGCATGTGGGCCAAAGTTGGACGACATTTGATTTGGCCCACCATACCATATCACAAGAAAATATTAAGAATAAATAAAAAATATTTATTCACATATTTTATTATTGTGTAAAAATATATTTACATTTCTGTCTAATTATTTATGCACTTTTCATGTAATATATTTTAATATAATATAGCTGGATATAGTGTAACATTACCCTTCATATTGAAAAGTTTGGGAACCTCTGAAAATATTTTTCATAAATTGAAATAAAATTAAACAAAACAAATATAAATATAATTATTAGATGAAAAATATAAAGTGGCAACTAACTGAAATAAATTAAGTTTATAAATTTAAATACTAAAATTACGAAAACTAAAACAAAAAAATGCTAAATACACACACACACACACACTAAAAATAACAAAAGCAGATAACAAATTACTAAAACAGAAATAAAAATCAATAAGAGATAAATAAAAATATATAAAAAAGTAATAATACTTTTTAAATAAAATGTCAGAAGCTCACATTAAAATTTCTAAAACTAAAATTAAAATGAAAACTTCAAAAATAAAAGCCAATTCAAAATATTAATAAATACTATAATTAATAAATATTAATAAAGACTATAAATGTAATAAATAGTACTAAAACAACACTACACTATCCTCAATAACCATAGTCAAAAAGTCCTAAAGAAATGTGTACAGAATTGCAAATGAAATTCCCATCATTATTCGTAAGCAAAAGTATCTTAATGGAGTTAAACAAGATCCTGATATCCACTAAATTCATATACAATTTAGTTGATCAGAATAACATTAAAATCATTTTATTCTATTAGGAATCATAACTGTCCTACATTTATATTTATGCATCTTTTCCAAAGTGACATACTGTACATTGCATTCAATACATTGCATTTTATCAGTTAATAAATCCAACAAGACATTTAAATGAACTAATATTAAAAATAATGAAATAATATCAATTTCTGGATATTAATTTTGCTAAATTAAAATTAATCTTTAAAAACACAAATTTACATTGCATTCAATACATTTTATCAGCTAATACATTTGATGGAAATTGAACCCCGCAACCTTAGCGTTGCGTGCGTGATGCTCTACAGCGTGAGCTACAGGAACGTCCTAATGGAAATATGTGTTCTTGTGTCTTTATCTGTGAATTCTGTGCTTCACCTCTTGAGGTCCACAGTGGTGACGTTGAAGATGACTCCTTTCAGCCAGAGGATCATGAAGAGTCTCTGAGAGAAGGGACAGTTCCCGATACTCTCTCCATCACTGCCGGCCTGAGAGACACACACATTATCCCATCATTCCTTCCACTACAGACGTCAGTGCTCTTCAAGAGACGAGAGTACAGTGTGTTTGAAGCTTGAGCTTTTGATTTGGTTTGCTCTGCACAGCAAACACTTCCTAATGCATGAAGACACTGTATGATGAAATGAGGATTTTAAAATGAAGTTTAAAATATAAATTACTTAAATTATATATATATTTTTTTTAGTCAAATAGTTAAGCTCCAAGATGTACAGAAAATCCAGAATAATACAGAAGTCATTAAAAAGACCTGACATATTATGAAATATATTTAAGTGTTTTATATTATTATAAGTGATTTAAATATGCAATGGTACACATTCGGCTAAAGTAATTACTTTATGTGGTTATTAACACTTAGATCTAGATAAATTCAAAATCCAAACAAGCTTCTTTTATCATCTTGTTTGACATCAATTAAATGCCGAAAAAAGGTTAATCAGAGGATGTAAAAAAAAAAAAAATGAAAATTGTGTCATCATTTACTCTTCCTCCACTTTTTTTCACAGTTTCTTTCTTTTGTTAAGCACAAAAGAAGATATTTTGAAGAATGTTGGTAACTAAACAGTTGACGGTAGCCATTGACTTCTATAGTATTTTTTACTTCTATAGTATTTGTAGTATATTTTAGTAGTATAGTATTTTTTCGACTTCTATAGTATAACTATGAATGGCTACCGTCAACTGTTTGGTTACCAACATTCTTCAAAATATGAAAATTGTGTCATCATTTACTCTTCCTCCACTTTTTTTCACAGTTTCTTTCTTTTGTTGATGGTAGCTTTTAACTTAATTAGTATTTTTTCCATACTATGTAAGTCAATGGCTACCATCAACTGCTAGGTTACCAGCATTCTTTAAAATATCGTCTTTTGTTGATGGTAGCCATTGACTTCCAGAGTATTTGTCTATACTATAGAAGTCAATGGCTACCGTCAACCATTTGGTTGCCAACATTCTTCAAAATATTTTCTTTTTTTTGATGGTAGCCATTGACTTCTATAGTATTTTTTTCCTCCATACTATGGAAATCAATGCTACTGTCATCTGTTTGGATACCAATATTTTTCACAAAGTATCTTCTTTTGTTGATGGTAGCTTTTGACTTAATTAGTATTTTTCCATACTATGTAAGTCAATGGCTACCGCCAACTGCTAGGTTATGAATATTCTTCAAAAGACCATCTTTTGTTGATGGTAGCCATTTACTTCCAGAATATTTTTTCCATACCACAGAAGTCGATAGCTACCGTCACCTGCATGGTTACCAATATTTTCAACATAGCTTCTTTTGGTGACATAACATCTATAGTATGAAAGTCAATGGCTACCATCAACTGTTTACCAACATTCTCCCAAATGTCTTCTTTTGTTGATGTAGCCATTGACTTCCATAGTATTTCCCCCCGTACTATGGAAGTCAATGGCTACCATCAACTTTTTGGTTACCTGCATTCTTCAAAATATCTTCTTTTGTGTTCAACATCTGAAGAAACTCATTCATGTTTGGAACAACATGATGGTGAGTAAATGATTGAACCACACAATACATTACGAAAAACCATTAAGGAGCTAAATAAGCTTAGACTGACAAACATCACAAGATATTTATTCAGAGCACAGTAGTTAGGAACACTTTCCGCAATGTTTGAGACTTTGAGTCAATAGTAAATATTGCTGTTTCCTATTCATATGCTCAAAATATGAAAAACAAGGTCATTAGCTCTTCAAAGATTCAATGTGAGAACATCTTACCTTCACAAACAGCTCAATGCTAGGAAAGCCCAGTTTTTTAGCTGCTACATCAAACCAAGCCATCAGGAAATATGGCTGCAGATATACTGCTTTCACATGTCTCACACGTCAAATCAGCTTCTCAAATGCTTTCTCTGCATGTATAAAAATGTCTTTTGTCTTTGTGCATCCACAATGGCTGATTTAATTTGGTAAGAGTCTGTCTTCATTTTCTGTGGGTGGAGAAAACGGTCAAACGCGCAGGACGAGACACTGAGACGTTTGTTCATTGTTATCAGCAATAGAGACGCCGTTCATGAGACGTGTGTTATGAAAGCATTTTACAGATCAACATTGTAAAAAATGTTCTTTATGATGATGGGAATCTCTATTATGATTTCCAGTGCAATAGAAATAAGCTATATGCATTACCATATGAAGGGTAATTACAAAACAAATGAGTTTTGCAGTGGTGTAAATATGCGTCTGCTGTTGTGTTTTTGTATGTCTGGATTGATTTATTACTGTGCTACTGTATTTATGAGTCTGGAGGTTGTGAATTAATATGGTCACCTGAAGATAAGCTGCCCATATTAACAGGCTAAAAAAAGTCTTTGATGAAGGAAAATCATACCGGCAGCATAAACATAACACCAGCAGAGGGCAGAGCTTCATTTTTAAGGGGTACTGCTATTAATCAGGCTGTGTGCTCATGTCAAAGTGTGTGTCAGTTCATAAAAAAAATAATATATATTAAAAACCTGATTTAATAAGCCACATTTGAATATAAGCATACCTGTAACGGGACAGCAATTACATTATATTAATTCAGTTGTAGCATTAACTTCACTGTGAGGCAATAAACACCAGCCTAGCAACCATCCAGAGCACCCTAGCAACCACACAGCATCATAACGGTGAGTTTTGCACATTCAGGAATCATATTATTTTTTTGAACGGAGAACAAAACAAACACTCGGTTCGGTCAAAAACTCCGATCCCCTCAGACCAACAAACATGTTAATCAGATTAATGTGTGGAGGAATGCTGGGACACGATTAACCCACTACACTATTCACTTACAAACACATTATTCACTCAGAAAAATATGAGCAGAGGCAAAACACATCACTCGAGGCAATAAAGAATAAGAATCAGCCGTTTGTCGCTGAATAACAGGCACAGGTGCATCTTTGATTAGATAACTGTCAGGACATGCCATCCATCACCTAGATCCTGTTACCAAAGCAAAACTACTACAATAAACACAAACCAATCATGAGACCCAAACTGATGCTTGTTTTGATTTGTTAGTGATCTGAAATGTAGAGTGAGTTGAAACGCGCACAAAGGCCATCTTTGTTACGGGAATCGCTCTGCAGAAACATACGGGTCGGATTTAAGGGCATTTTTAGCAGGCTTAACGTCCCGCTGGTCAGCCTCCTTCATACAACAAGAATTTGGCTGACGTGAGAGCTTTGTTCCGAATGTTTCAAACAATTCTAAAAAATAATACATAAATAAATAAAACTATTACTGTAGTTTTGCTTGATTAAGAACAACAAGGTTTAACAAACAAAATAAAACACATTTAAAATAAAATATAAAATAAACAATTGTTAAATAAATAAATAAATAAATAATACAAACTACTATTGATGTAGTTTGGCTGGTTAAGAACAAAGTTTAACAAATAAAATAAAGATAAATAACAATTAAAATAAAATACTATAAAAACGACTTTTGCTGTAGGTTTGCTTATTGCAGCAACAAAGTCTAACAAACAAAATAAAATACATTTAAAACAAAATAAATAAAAAAATGTATAATTAAATGATTATTTAAATAAATAATAGTAGTTTTGCTTGGTTAAGAGCCACGCTCACAGTTAAATTAAATGAAGTAGAAATAAATACATATATACATGAATCTACACGTAAAAAAAAAAAAAAAGAAAATTAAATAAATAAAACCATCTATTGCTGTAGTTTTAAGAAAGAGAAAGTTTTACACCTGAATACCAGTGCCCATCTAATGTTATGTTTTTAGTATGTTTTATTGCATAATCTTTGGTAAACTTAAGTCTACATAACAGTTGAAAAAGTTTGATTCTTGATTAATATTATTGATTAAGAATCAAACTCACAGTTAAATTTAAACAAACAAACAAACAAATAAATAAATATTTAACATCTAGATACTTCTATTTCGCACTATAATGTTGCATAATCTTTGATAAAGAAGTCAAGGCAATAGAAGTTAATTGCAAAAGTGATACCTAAAGCCAATTATTTTCTAATGTTTGTTGAGAGGATACTTTATATGGTATTTTCTATTGGAACGTTCTAGAATCAAGAAAGAAACACCACAGTGGGTTGTGTCAGATTCATTTTTAGCTCACCAATCAATCCATCAGCTCAACAACAGCCGAGAATAATCTCAATTAACTAAGTGCATTATATCACCAGCAGCATCCATTTATACAGCACACCACAACACATGGTGGCAATTATGACTTCAGACTTTGGCTTGAACCTTAAGCCTTAATATACTACTTCAGATATACTGTTTATGTCATATGAACCACTGTAATTAAAACACCTTGCAACTGAGTTTAAGCTATTGCAGTTTGTCTTCAGATCAGTGACTGTAAAGGCCAGTTAAAGTGCATTAGCTACCAGTATATGGTATATTTTTGGCACTTTCATGCTGGTTTTGGCCGGTCATCCTGCAATAATACTGTGATCAAGTTAATGCACCTGCAACAATAACCAGCTTAACCAACTTGTTCCAGTAACACTGCCCTGGACTGGGAATTACAGTCTAGTTTTCTAGAAGCGGGATGACAGACCAATTAACCAGTAGAGCAAAGACACTAATGCAATTAGGGTTAGTGATAGTAACACCATCTGCTGAGCAGAAGGACATGCTGTCATTGTAGGAAACTGTGTGCTAATGTTGCTAACAAGACAGCCTGATCATTGTCATTCCTACAATCAGACTCAGTGCATTATTCTGTCAGCATTTCTACAAATATCTGAATTTTGTTTGCCTTTTTACAGTTTATATGTATGTGACGAAAATGTACCACAGTGATCAGTTCCCACCAACATTTTATAATATTTCTTTTTACCAGTGTTATTTTACTATTATTTATATACTATTATAGTATCAATCTTTTTATTAATTAAAAGTTTTTATCTGTAATTTTATTTTATTTAATTTCAGTTATTATTATTCATAATTACTTTTTTTAAATGATAAATTATCAATTGGTTTTTAGTTAACAATAACAATAGGCTACTGCTACAGTAAAAGTGCAGTAGCATATTTGATTTAAAAACAGTAAAAATTGGGAAATATTATTACAATCTAAAATAAATGTTTTTTTAAGTAAATATGTTGTAAAATGTAATTTATTTCTGTGATGCGCAGCTGAATTTTCAGCATCATTACTCCAGTCTTCAGTGTCACATGATTCTTCAGAAATCATTCTAATATGCTGATTTGCTGCTCAAGAAACATTTCTGATTATTATTGATGTTACAAACATTTAATTGCTCCATATTTTTGTGTAAACTGTGATACAGTTTATTTGTCAGGATTCTTTGATGAATAGAAAGTTCAAAAGCAGAATTTATTTGAACATTTTTGTAACATTATAAATGTCGACTCTCACTTTTGATGAATGTAATGCATCCTTGCTAAATAAAAGCATTAACTTTTCATTGACCCCAAACTTAGGGTTATGAAACAACCTTCCTTAAAGCTTAAAATTAAAGCTTCTGACACTTTTCAGATTGCACACTGCCATAATAGACCTACAGTTGAAGGCCTGTTTTTTTCTCTCTCGTTAACTTCTAATACTCCTATATACAGATAAATCTTGGCCATCATCTGGCTATAAACAGTAGAAGGTACCTTCACATAGAGGGCGATCTGCAGGTCATGTGGATGGCCCTCCTGTTGAGCTGGATTCTCCATTTTTGTCGTATTTTCCGAGTTTTTTTCCTCTTCCTGTTGAACTACAGCAGCTGCAGGGCATCCATTCACCATAATGACCTCTTGAACTTTGGCCTTGATATTCACCTCCCCTTCACTGCTGCCGCTCACGCTTCTGACCCGACTGCCGAGGGGCTTCGACGGCTCTTGGAAATGAGCATCCGAGCTCACCCTGCCCTTCAACCAGGCAGCTTCAGAAATCATTCTAATATGCTGATTTGCTGCTCAAGAAACATTTCTGATTATTATTGATGTTACAAACATGTAATTGCTCCATATTCTTGTGTAATACTCCTATATACAGATAAATCTTGGCCATCATCTGGCTATAAACAGTAGAAGGTACCTTCACATAGAGGGCGATCTGCAGGTCATGTGGATGGCCCTCCTGTTGAGCTGGATTCTCCATCTTTGTCGTATTTTCCGAGTTTTTTTCCTCTTCCTGTTGAACTACAGCAGCTGCAGGGCATCCATTCACCATAATGACCTCTTAATAGACCTACAGTTGAAGGCCTGTTTAATTCTCTCTCGTTAACTTCTAATACTCCTATATACAGATAAATCTTGGCCATCATCTGGCTATAAACAGTAGAAGGTACCTTCACATAGAGGGCGATCTGCAGGTCATGTGGATGGCCCTCCTGTTGAGCTGGATTCTCCATCTTTGTCGTATTTTCCGAGTTTTTTTCCTCTTCCTGTTGAACTACAGCAGCTGCAGGGCATCCATTCACCATAATGACCTCTTGAACTTTGGCCTTGATATTCACCTCCCCTTCACTGCTGCCGCTCACGCTTCTGACCCGACTGCCGAGGGGCTTCGACGGCTCTTGGAAATGAGCATCCGAGCTCACCCTGCCCTTCAACCAGGCAGGTATGGTGACTTTACGCCCCCCCTGGGCTTTCCTCCTGGGCTCATCTTCAATGACAGCCTTGAGCTCTTCTAGCCAGTTCCCCGCCCCCTCCTCTATAGGTGCTGGCACTTCTTGTTTTGGCTGTTCCTTTGCAGCTTCACCTCCCTCTGCGACCTCCCGTTTGCTATTGCCCAGCTGTTCCTGCTTCTTGCACACACCCTCTTCTACAACTTCAGGATCATCAAGTGGCTGTTCCGCCTTTGTACAGCTTCCCTCATCTATAAGAAGCTCCTCCTTCTTGACCAGCTCTTCTGTAATCTCTACAACTCTTTGAGCATCATCTTGAATCTTTTTGATGCCTTCTGCCTCTTTATCAGCTCCTCTTGTCTCCTCAGGTCCATTGACAATAGGTGATTCGGTATCTGCTACTATTTTTTCACAATTCTCCAGATTGGTGTCACTCACCACCTGTTCAATCCGCTCTAGTCTTTCATATTCTTGCACGATGCTTTCCACCAACTGATCTGAATTCTGGACCATCTCCTCTATGGTTCCACCAATCATATCAGTTGATGGTTGCTCTGTTGCAATCCAGTCAATCGACCTTTCTTCTGCTGCATTGTAAGTGGTCTTTTCATCACTAGTTGTCTCGAAGGCATCATTGTGCATTGGCTGTCCAACTGCTATACAGTCCTCCAATAAAGGCACCTCGGCTGTAGACTGTTCTTTGCCAACATTATCAAATGTTGCTGTTTCTCCCTCTTCCCCAAGACTCTGAAAGTCTTCTATAGATTCTCCTTCACTGGTAGAAACCGTCCGTGGCTCTTCGTCTACACACTCATCATCCCAACTTTCCACCTTCACCTCTTCATGCTCCTCTTCTTGCGAAAGTATGTCACTCTTTACTTGCTGAATTTGATCCTCTCTGGACTTGTTTTTTATTTTTTCAAGGAGGCTACAGGTAAACTCTCTTACCTCAGACAGGAGCAGCTCCTGATGTTCCTGTGTCTCCGTCTGCCTTTCGCTCAAGGTTTGCATTTGTGGTTCATCGCTTTCCTTTTCGTCTTCATACAGCATTTCCAACTTGTGATCTGCTCGATCCTTGTCCAGTTCTTTCAATGTTCCTCCAAGCTCTTCAGCTTCGTTTCGAAGTTCTGGAACTTGTGTTTGTGTTGTCCTTGGCAGTTCAACTGTTACCTGTAGCTCAGGCGTTGTTAGTTTGGCGGTTATGTCCACTTCTTCCTCCATCTCTCCAGCATTTAACTCATTTTGCAGAACCACTGTCTCTTGGCCAACTTGGTCCTCTACATCTTCCATATTATCCTCTTCCTCTGTTTTATGAATGATCACGTCTGTTGAGGGCATTGCGTTGCTTTCTCCACCATCATCATCTCCAATGTTGATATCCTCGTCCACCTCTTCGGCCAGTTCAACCTCATCCTCCTCCTCCTCTTCCTCTCCAGTCCTCCGATCTTCCATCTCCATGCACGACCCTACAGGACTGTGGATGACAGCTCCGTTAGAAATCTCCATGTTGATACTCATATCGTTTCTGGCCTGGGCCATAATTCACTATGTTCACTATGACTATGTAGAATTTGTAGAACTAGCACACCAAAGCTCTTCTGTCTACTTCTGCAGTCTATGTTCTGTAAAGGTAACTAGGACTTACTCTCTCTCCCACCCTTTTTCCTCTGGAGGATTATGGTAAATTTCACATTCTGATCCCCACATGACTTGCCTGCCCTCTCAAATCCGCTCCAATGGGAGCCTGGTCAGCTCAAGATGATCGGTTTAAGGGTAGGGCAGGTATTTAAAGTAGTGAATTGGAATTCTCCATCTTGTTTGCTACCTTAGATGAACTGAAAATAAATAAATAATATGTGGGTATCTTTTGGGCCCGTTTTATTTGGATTTTAAGCTTGTGACCTGCAAGAGTGAACTGAAAAAAAAAAAAAAAAATAATAATAATAATAATAAAAAAATATATATATATATTTTTTTTTCTGAACTTTTAAAAAAAAATTTCAAACAAGTATTTTTCAGGGAAACTTTGCTTTACTGAAATCTCTATTTCTATTTTTGATTTTTTTTTTAATTTAAAATAGATTTTTATTACATTTTATTTTAAAGTACATTTTAATTCATTACATTTAAATATTGTGTTGTACTTTAAAGAAGTACACTTTTTTACATTTTCATTTAATTGCAAATAATGTGCAATTAAGTGTCCAAAAACATACCATTTAGTTTGCAAATAAGTATAGTCTTTTTATATTATATTCTATATAATATAGTAGTATATTCATTAGTACCCTTTTTAAAAGTATGCTAAAGTGTACTTCTTTTTCGCATAGATAGACAGATAGACAGATCTTCTTATTCTTATTTATTGCAATGAATTAAGACAATTTTAGTGTAAACCCAGTATCAAATTACTTTTTGGCCACTTTTTCCAAGCAGTGCATTTAATGAGCTTTATCGTGTGCATTACAGATCTGACCAAAAGAGGGCACTCAAAGACCACTTAACTGTGATAATCGCTGCCTTAATCACATTTAAAATACAAGCACTCTACACTTTACACAAACCTAACCATGTATTCCGGTGACTCCTGCGCTTTTTGTTACATTTTGAACAATCTATATCATTTTCGCAAGGAATACTTACAGCAATGCTTCATGCGCAGCGCTCGTGCGTAAGCGGAAACCATGACGTCATATCAGCTGTTTTGGCCCAGTGCAGGCTGTCGCAAGTGTAGACGTGATTGTTTCAGGAATACATCACGGTTTTGCTAGTAACACTATGCAGCACATTTCATGTGCACTAGCTTTGCACGAACAGTAGCGTGTGTCAGCTTGAGGGTTTGGAGACGCTGCTTTTGCAGAAGGTAGAAAGCAGAGCATGACGCCATGAGCTGAGCGCTGAAACGTTTGAGATCAAAGGCACCGCAGTTGAGATCAAAGGCACCGAACGCCGCGGTTACATCTGTTGCCATGCAGCAGTCAGAGAGCGGCGGCGGAGGGGCGGCGACTTCTGAAGTCCAGCTCAACGACCAACCCAACGCGCTCATCGCGTGTAAAGTGCCAGAAGAGGTTTTTAATGAGCAGCAGTTAAAGGTAGGCGTGCACTCGCTCTGCTTTTACCCCGATTATCACCCGCTTTACCGCAGCAGTCAGACCCGATCTCGCGGAAGTGTTTTTCATCAAAGCCATATAGGACAAGAACTACATTGTTGTTCTTTACCAATCACAATTAATTTACTGGAGTAAGGCTCGTGGGACATGAGCATTGCACAAACAAAAAGCTTTTTATTTGTGTCATGGTAATACCATTTTTTCATGCACCTTGTTTTCTTGGACATGGTACTGCCATGTTTTTGGACATTGTCCCTTGACGAATGGTAGTTGCATATGCACCACAATAATACAATGTTTTGGACATTTTACTTTGGGAATGTGATGTCTTTTCTACCTTCTTTTACTAAAATGCACCAAAAAGTGCCATGGCACTACACTGTTCTCTTGGACATTGTATGGTATTTTGGAAATGCATTATTATTATTTTTTGGACATAGTACCACAGTAGTTTTTTAGGGTGCACACTTGTAATCTACATTAATTTGAACAAATCCATGTCCTGCAGATAATATGCTAAAAAGCTGAAAGGCTTTAGGTCTCAAGGCGGGCATCACAAGTGTATTTGTAAACATGCATCTTGTGTTTAATAGAAAATGCATTGCGATTTCACTTATCTTAGTCATATTTGCTCCCTCACAATACATATCTGCCTCAATACTAAACAAACCAAACGAGTCAGGCTACCGTGCCACTGTATGAGCCACACCGAATTCATTTTATGTAGAATCTGTATTACATGTATAATGTTTATAGAATGGTTTACAAGAAATTACCTAAAGGAATAGTTCACTCAAAAATTAAAAGATGTAGATGAGTTTGTTTCTTCATCAGATTTGGAGAAATATAGCATTGCATCTCTTGCTCAGCAATGGATCCTCTGCAGTGAATGGGTGCCGTCAGAATGAGAGCCCAAACAGCTGATAAAAACATCACAATAATCCACAAGTACCACTCCAGTCCACCAGTTAACATCTTGAGAAGACAAAAGCTGCTGTTTGTAAGAAACAATTCCGTCATTAAGATGTTTTTAAAGGTGTCATCGGATGCAAAACTCGCTTTTACATGTTGTTTGAACATAAATGTGTGTTGGCAGTGTGTGTACACAACCACCCTATAATGATAAAAATCCACCCAGTGGTATTTTTTGAATCTCTATAAATGTTATCCCCTTTTTCAAATCAAGCCATTCTCAGCTTATTGGCTGTGTGACGTCTCACAGACCCAGGCCGCTCCCACGATAGTTGATTGACACGGCTGTCTTACCTTAAGCCCGGCTCACACTGTGCGATTTTGGCACTTCTCCTATGACGAACGTCAAACTGTCTTCATTTTTCAAGACAAGTCATGATCAGAATTAATGCTAGAGATTTCTTCTAACCGCATAAACTCCGGCGCTCTCGTCCTCCACTCACGGAATTCATCTGATTCGTTGCCTTTGCTATGATACACACCAGTTGCGCTGCTGTTTTCATGTGGATGTGTAGTGCTGCTTGCACTATTCTGCATAAATACGCCAGTATTGTCGCCATTCATATACTTTTAATGATAGCCAACATTACAGCCCCGCGTGCAATGCATCTCGCAGTCACTGAAAGTGTATGGGTTGATAAGGTAAAACTCGAGACAAGTTTTCTTGCGCACCCGTTTTTAACGCGTCTTGACTGTCGTACAGTCTGACATTAATGAAAACTGAGATCCCACAGTGTGACATGATCATCATGTTCGTACAGTCTGACAAGTACAATCCTAAAGGACTTTTAAAAAATCGCTCAGTGTGAGCCCGGCTTTAGACCCGCTCTGAGTGAGCTGAGTGAACAGTCCGATCGCCATTGTTTCGATGCCGGAGCAGGGACGTAGACAAGAATGGCTCCTAAGCGATTGAGGTGTTTTGTTGTTGGATTAATAATGAACATAGCAGTCGTCATTTACTCCCGACATCTGAGCCGCTAAAGACGCAGAGGATTAACGTTACTTTCGTTTTTGAAGGGAATGCGTCCTCCAATCTACCTAAATGCGAATCATTCGTGATCCAGCTTCATCTACAGATGAAGTGAGTATAAGGGTTTTTTATGAATCTTTGCAAATCGCCTTTCCTAATAATGTGCTATTTAGCAAGTTTCGCGGCTAAAGTAAACAGGACGGCTCGTCACCCCACAGAAGAGAGGGGTGACGAGAGCTCATTAGCATTTAAAGGGAAATGCAACAAAACGGGTTGCTGTGAAAAGAGCTGATTTTAACAAGGTAAAAAGGGTGTTCTTTACACTACTATTGAGAAATTGTAACCAAAGTATGTTATAGACTTTTCATTAAGACCCTAAAGAATCATATCAACTTGTGGAAAATGGGCATCCGATGACCCCTTTAACTTCAAACCATTGCTTCTGGCTTAAACCTTCTGTCTGAGTCCATAATCCATAATAACGCTTCCTCCAGTGAAAAAGTGGTCTGGTCTGAATCTGGAGAGAAATCTGCACAAATCAAGCATCGTTTACAAGCCAAAACAGTCCACAACAGGTCTAAACAAACATGTGGCTGGATTTTGATGTGAGAGACAACAGAAGATGGACTTTTTAACTGGAGGAAGCATTATTTTGGACTCGTATTTTAGCCAGGAGCAATGGTTTGAAGTTACAAATGTCTTAATGATGGATTCGTTTCTTACAAACATGCAGCTTTTGTTTTCTCAAGATGTTAATTGATGGACTGGAGTGGTGTGGATTACTTGTGTTTTTAGCAGCTTGTTTGGACGGCACCCATTCACTGCAGAGTAAGCGATGTAATGCTAAATTTCTCTTCGGCCCGACCTTCACCTGTTTTATTGGAAAACTAACAGCACACTTTTTCTCAACAGGAGGAGACCTGAGGCATTATTTAGGTCTATAGCACCGATGATTATCGATTGAAGTTTAATACTAAGTTTGAGCAGAACGTAATCCTGATGCTCGACTGAAAATCTCAGTTGGTGCTTCTCTCAGTGATGTGATTCTTAACCCAACACAGTCCATTTTCCATCCTCTCCCTCATTTTCCATTCTAATAATATGACTATGACCCGCTGGGGTCTCTGTTTAGTGAGGGTGTTTGAAGCTTCCACAAAGCCATGGCTTATTTTAGCGCCACACCTGCTTTACTGCTACAAAAGGACGTTCAGTGAGGAACCAGACTCCTAGAAATATCCTTGACCTCAGCTGCTCTCATGGAAAAGAAGAGCATTTTTTGCTTTGTGTTTTTTTTCCACTGAGGTCAAAGGTCGCTCGCTGTCCTAGCTCATATTTATCTCTTGAAGCCACTTATGAAACAGTTGTTTTTCTCTGCCATGCATGACTTTCATCCCGGTGTTGTTTAAAATCAGGCTTATTATGTAATATCGCCATTTCCAAAGAGGTCTATTTTGAGCAGGAACTTGGATTAAGTGTGGAATTTGAAA